TATTACTAGCGGCCAGACGTCCGACACACAATAATCATCCGTACGCTTCTACTCTACCCATCCCACTCCAGCGCTCCTTCCCTTTGTTGACACGTGACGCTACCGGGTGCACACAACTGAATTGAACCTTAGGCGTATATGAGGAAGAGATAGAAAGAGAGACAAATGGATCAGATGTTAATCATTCCTTGCAACATTGAAAAACAAGGTTTGCAACACTAAAGAAATAGTGTACGTATGCAACATTGCAAATAAACTTATGAAACACTAAGAATACAAATTAAAGCTAGAACATCACACGACGCATGTAGCTGATCGAACAAAAAAAAATCTCACCACACAAAGATTGCCTTTTGCTTCACATTCAAACCACAACATCTCAAAATCAAACCATGTGACATATCAAAATTATCCGATGAAACATATTGAATCACCTCACGAATATCCAAAAATCTTGTTTGCAACATCTCAAATAAGCTATTGCAACATCAAGAAATCCAATTTGTATGGAGTGTACCATAAACTTGCACAACATCCAAGATTGACTATGGCAACATATCACATACTACGTTAATAGCTACCAGACTTCCATTTCCCCTCAGATGTGACATCAAAATTATGCGATGAAACATATGGAATCACCTCATGTAACACCCAAAAAGACATGTTGTAACATCTCCAATAAGCTATTGCAACATCACAAAATCTAATTTGTACCTAGTCACGCTCACACGACACAAGGCTGATCCGATTGCCCTTCAAGGTGAAGGAGCCTAGACACCATGGAGGATCTTCTGCCAGTGAGGCCACCCCTCCATCTTGTAGTTCATCACCGAGATGGACCCAACCATGGAGGAGTTCATAGGCGAGTGTGACTCACCATAAAGGTGTCCACTTAGATCCACTTTGCCACCATGGAAGCAGGCAGAAGGCGTAGGTAGGTGCATCAGCGAGGAGAAAGAGGATGGGCACGGACAAGCGAGGCCACGAGGAGGAAGAGGTAGTGAGGGAGTAAGGCGTCAGTCGTGGCGAAGGAGAAAGGCGGCGGAGATGACCGGCCGATATCAACCACAAGCACAAAGCGTGGGAGAGAAACTTGTTAGGTAGAGATGGTTGGACGCCCGGCGTAGGAGCATGTTGATACCTCCTATTTTTCTACCTTTTTCTTTGACCACTGTAAAACTTATCTAAATATGTTTAATTGAATGGGACATGAGATTGTGCCGACTTCATTGGTAGAGAAGAGAGAATTGCATTATGGCTAAAGGCCCCTTTGGATTGCGGAATTTTTCCTGTTTCCCCGTTTTCCCGTGAAAATGAACTAATCACTAAATTCATGTACAATTCTTGTAGAAACTCCTGTGTTCTAAAGGGGCCCCTAACAGGGAGTACAAAACCTACACTCGTGCTAACAAAGACGCTAACCCATGCAAAACCAGGTGGACGCTTCCTCCTCGATTGTTGGAGCATAACCAAGGTGCTCCATTTCTTGCATTCGAACACTCCATAGTTACTTTCCTTGTAGACTAGATTTCACAAGATATCAACATCACAAATGCTTCGCAACACTTTCTGTGGAAATGGACGTTGTGGATACCATTGTCTCCCACAAGTGTTGCACAAGTCTCAACAATGGTTGTCCAAGCCAATCTACGAATCTGTTCCGTGTATCCGCATCTTGCAATCAGGTGATGCGTTGTTTCTGGAGCTTGGTGACACGGTGGGCAAAGAAGGGTTGTTTAGTCATCCACGGATTCCTAGCCTATCAGAAGACCGGACAATATTTTGTAGGCAGCCTGCCTGGTTGGTGTGGATGCGTTTTGTTGGCTTTGGTTTGTGAAGCAAATGCACTAATGGCTTGGTTGGTTGTGAAAAGAAAATATTGTTTTGACTGTAAATTTACGATCGTTTACGACAAGCTACAGCCAAACGAACAGGCTGAGGATCAACCAAGCGGAGGAAAAAAAATCTAAATCAGGAAAAAAAAAAATTGATGCTCAAGCTGCCAGTAGGTCATCGAGATCAAGTCGTCGTTAGGTGGAGTCATAGGAATCATTGGCCAAGTGCATTTCAAAGTCAATCAACGTGATAGCTACCTGACTATACTACGTTAATAGCTACCAGACGTCCAGACTTCCATTTCATATGAAATTTATTATTCGCTCTACAGTGTTGTACAACTCATCCCGGCCGGCACGCATCCACCATCGCCGATCTCATGGCGGCCACCACTCAGAGGAATCGTCACGTCGTGTTGTTCCCCTTTCGGCGCAGGGCCACCTTCGCCGGGTTTCTCACTCCCTCGTCTCCTCCTCCGCCGCGAGCTCCAGGATGGCGTCATGATCACGATCGTCTGCACCCCGCTCACCGTGGCCGCGCTTCATACTCCTCTGTGGCGGATTTAAGACGCCGAAGTCGTCCTCCAGCATCAGCTTCCACGCGCTGCCGTTTGCAGCCGGCCGACCACGGCCCTCCCTGCCGACTGCGAGGTCCACCAGCTCTCTCTCCAACCGCGGCGACTTCGCGAAGCTCTTCGAGACCTTCGACGACTTCC